ACTGCAGCAGGACAAGAAAACCCCGGCTTGAGCCCAAGCCAGAGGAGCCGAGGTCCAGGGCCCAGCAACCAGCCCCCATGGAGGGCAACCAGCGCGCGACGCCCGCGGTTATTCCAGGTATTTCTCAGCTTGAGGAGCAGGAGTGCGGCTCCCTGGGCTCACTGCCTGCAGCCGGGTGCCCTCTGCTGTCCCCTGTCCCCAGCATTTGCTGCTTCCTCGGAGGGCCTGGAAGGCCCCAGCGCAGGGCTCATCCATCGGCTTTCCACCTGCCTTTGGGACCGTGCTCATCTCTGCAGATGTGGCTGGTGCCCTACTGTCCTGGCTCCCAGGGCACGCTTTTCCCAGCCTCCGCAAGCTGTTTGATTTAATGGGAATTAATCTCCTAAGCTCCCCTCCGCTTTGTAGCTGTGTGGAACAGCTGGGCTGCAAGAGGGAACTGCCAGATTGATTTCAAACCACCCCCTCCTGCTATCCCCCGTGTCTCGAATGCCCCGTGGGGGAGTCAACTCCTCCATCTGTCCACAGCCCCCCGGGTGGGTCATAATATGCTTTGTATAGAAAATTCAATTAGACCTGACAAGAGATGTATGTTAGTGCTTCCTTGCCAGGCCCTGTCTTGCTCCTCTGCAAGAGACTGTAGAAGCTATTAGGTAAAAACCCTTTTAAGTGTAATGGCATTTATGGCCAGGCCTGGCTGCGCGGGTGGGCTTTGTGGGAAGGGAAATTACAGCGGGAACTTGCATCACTGCAGGTGCTGAGATGCCCTTGGCTGCCTGCGAGGGGAGCGCCAGCAGCCGGGGTCTTTTTCTTGGTGTTTCTGAGCACTGAAGAGCCCCTCTTGCTGGGGAGGGGTGTATTCATGCCAGCGTCTTGGCTACATGCAACTACCTTAAACTCCCTCTTACGTCCCATCCTCCAGTTGTTCCAATGTGAGGTGTTCCAGTGGTGCGTGTTGCTTTTATTATTATTATTATAGGTAGCTTACAGCCGAGTAAAGGATGGCTGTGGATGGCTGTGATCACTGTGGGTTTAATGTACCGAGAGAAGGCAAGTCCCTTCTGTAGCCTTTATTGCCACCTTCAGGACTGGCACCCAAGCGTTCCAGGAACACCAGGTTTTGTATTTATGTCAGAAAACCAGCAGCATTAGGAACAAAGGAGCTGGAAGGGATGAAGCAAGGCAGATTTTTTTTTTTCTTGGAGGCTTCTGAAAGGAGCACCCTGGCAGCCGCTTTGGTTGTAACAGCGGTGCTGGGGATGCTCTATGTGTTTGTTAGGTTCATTGAGGCTGAACTAAGAAGAGGGAACCGTGGCCTTGCTCCATGCTTGTAACAAATGCTGTAGCTGAAGGTTTAATCCTGAGGGTTGGTCCTGCCTGAGATGGTGGCTTAGGAAAGGTTCTGGTTAATAGTTGCATCAAGGCTGGTGTATTGATGCCTTTGCTGTACCGATCCCTTAGGGAGAGACTGAGGCCTCGTCCCCGCCGTGGGGCAGCACTCTGGCTGTGCAGCAAATATTAACTAGCAGCTTGAGCAGCTGCATTAAAGGTTGTGGTGAATGAGCTGCACTGTGTGACAGTGTGCACGGAGGTGATGGCAAGGAGAGCCACGTTCTCAAACTGCTGCTGGTTTCTCTGGGGTCAGAACCACAGCAGAGCTACAGCCACGGGTGACCTGGGGGGGTGTCTATCAGGGCTCAATCATGCAGGAGTCTTCCTGGACCCTTCCATGCCTCCCGGGAGATCCCACGCCATTCCAAGTGCACATCTGCCTGCTGTGGATGTGCAAACCCACCACCCCTCAGATGCTTCTGACGGGTTCAGGAGGGAGCAGGGCAGGTACCTCCGTCCAGAAGGCCCATGGCTTCATGCTGGGTTTCACTCCTGCTCTTTGGCTCAGCCCTGTTCACCTCCACTGCAAGGGGAAAGCACAAGGACACAGACACCCAGCGGACAAGGGAGGTTGACACAACCGTGGTGTTTATTGTGTTCACCTGGCTCGGCACAGCTGGAGCCTGGAAGGCCGCTGGGGCCATCCCGGTGCGGCAGCGGCCAAAGAGCCTGAAGAAGCCGAGCGCCTACGAAGTGACTTGCTCAGAAGCTCTCACCTTTGGCAGCGGGTAGTGCTAGGAAGTGGTGTTTGCACTTCGATGCCAAGCAGCATTCCAGGAAGTGCTCGGAGCGAGATGGAAACGCGTGTCCCGGTGAGCCCCACGATGTCCTGCTGTCCCCCGAGGAGTGACCGCAGGGGTGCACGTGGCTCGGGGAAGCTTGGGGGTGTCTGCATGCTGGCTCACAGCCCCAGGGGCGCTAGCAGGCACATCCTGTCTCATCAGGAGCACACGGAGCGGAGGCCAACCTGCACTTCTTGCGCACACTGTGCAGTAGTTAATAGTAGTTAATAGCTCAGGGCTGGCAAGCAGACCAGGGAGTGCCTGGCTCAGGCTGGATGTTACGGGTAGTGGCTGAGGCGATAGGCTGGTCTGCAGGATCTCCAGGTGATCCCATGCCTTCCAGAGCATCGGTGCAAATGGTAAAGCTCAGTCTAATGTGCATCCATGAACCTCCTCCCACTCTTTGCATAGGCCCCTCCAGAAAGGCCGGCCACCCCCAGCATCGGGTGCACGCGTGGGCACCCAGGAGTAACTCGCTTTGCAGTTGGGAAGCAGCACCATGCAGAAACCCTCCGAAGGCCGTCGGATGCCCCCAGGGAAGGCGGCTGTAGCGAGCAGGGCCCCTTCGCGCGCCTACGGCTCCAGTGTCACGCTGCTGTTGGTAACGCGGACGCCGTACCAGCCCTTCCAGAACAGCGTGTCCTGGCCGCCGTGTTCGAAGCGCACGAAGCGCACGCCCGGCCCGTAGTTGGAAAAGGTGTGGGAGATCTTTAGGGTAGGAGAGAAAAAATGGTTGTTGGTGAGTGTCAAACCACCATGGATCTGCCCTTCTGCAGTGCACGGAGCCTTCAATCCCTCCCTGCCCAGCCTACCAGGTTGGGTAATGGTAAGGCTGGTTCCAGTGGGAAAGAAGTTATGGAAGGAGCTTTGATCCCAGTGATTTTTTCAGAGGCTGCTTGAGCTCTCCCCTAGTTGGGCATCTCCTTCCACTCCCACGAGTTTGTGATGACTTAACAAGCTTCCCAACTTTATGCAAGGCACTAAAATCCCCGGGTCTGCAGCACACGAGCCAGAGTGTGCTTGTCCTCTCCGAGGAGGAGGATGCACCCTGCTCCCTTCGCCTGCAAGCGCTCCTGCCCCGCACAGGTTGCGTGTCCTGCCCAGCCCCTCTCTGCCCCTCACCTCCGTCCAGGCAGCGTCGTTGTCCTGGGGGATGGCAATAGTTTCGCTCTTGAACTCGGCCACCACGTCCTCGTGCTCCGAGAGCAGCTTCGCGCAGAGCTCGTAGAGGCAGCCGGCGTCGCTGCGCCCTGCGTACCTGCAGGGAGAGGAGCTTGGCAAGGAGGGCCCCACGCGCAGGAGGACACGAGGGATGCAGCGGGGTGACAGCTGAGGTTTCAAGGGCTAGTGCAGGTTTCATTCTTGATACCCTGTCTGCGTTCCAGGGCGTCATTCCTACTTACCAGTCCTTCACCACGATTTTAGGCTGGGTTGTGTCCATCAGCTCTTCCCAGTAGCCCTCAGCCCTAAGATCAATGACCTGAGACTTCCGACACCAACTGAAAAGCAAGTTAATTGGTAGCACAAGCTGTCCCGGGTCTGGAAGAAGCAATATTGTTCCCTCCCCAAATAAGAGCAGAAAGCAGCCTTACTCATAGGACGTAACAAAGTATTTGTGGACTTCTTCACTAGGAAATTCTTTTCCAAAGTCCCCAGGAAGCTCTTCAATTTTCCAGCCATCACCTCCATTCTCTACCTCTCCCCAGTCCTGGAAGTCTTCTGCAAAGGCAGAAAAGAGAGAAGTTTAGTGTGAGTCTCTGCTGGCCTGGAGAGCCTCACTGCTCCCAGTGAGACCATCCCTTGGTTTGGAAGGTGCCTTGTTAGATCCAGCCCCACTCTGTGCATGGGCTGCAGAGATGTTTGTTAGTAGAAGTAAAGCAAAAAGCTTTAACCTGGTGGAACACAAACTCAACCTTTCCTGCCACCTAAATGCCTATGCATGTATGGCTTTACTTAAGAAAATACTCCACTGCAACTACATATTCTAAGCTGTCAGCACTTTCAGAGTTGTAATATAGAAATAGCCCAGAGGATAGATTCCTATTCCTTTTTTTTTTTCTTTTTTCTTTTGTAAGCAAGTAATTGGGATTTGTTTCAAATTCCTTATTTGCTGTTCCTCTGTGCGATGTTTTGGAAGTCTGCAGAAGGCTTCCAGGCGTACCTGAATTGCTACGTGATATTTCTAGAAGCTCCGTGCCCTAAAACATTTGGGCTCTTCTGGCCTTAGTCAGAAGGAAATTGTGTGTTGAAAAAGCCTGCAGAAAAATCACCTGTAAGTACAATGGGGAAGTTGATGTTGATGCTTAGTTTGCCTGTGGATGCATGAAATGTGGAAATTCTGTGTTGTTGCTTGGGCTAGGAGGCTTGGTTACTGCTGCTTGTAGCTAAACATTCTCTAGATTAACTAAAATTAATGGATTATCAAACCAATGACTAAGGCTTGTGTGCCCAGCTCAGAAATGCAGCAAAGGCTGATTTGCTAGGATGCCTTCAAACCCATTGAGTGAGTGGCCTTGGCCCTCATTATGCTGCTGTCTCACCTTCGCCGCACGGGTTCTTGATGAGATTCCTCTTTTTCTTGCTCAAGAAGTAGAAGTTTTGCCAATTCTCTGCATCCTCCTCTGCTTCTGCTCCAGTGAGGCCCTCCTGCTGGCACTTGAGGATCCAAAGAGCAGCTCCATCCACCAGGTTCTTCCACTGGCAGCAGACCAGGCGGCACACCAGCACCAAGTCCACGGCAGGTATGGAGGCCAGGATCCTGATCAGGACCGCTTCAGGGAGGGACTCCATCCTTGGCCCACGCTGGATGGAGCTGTCTGAGGAGAAGGTGGGGAAAGCAGTTACAGACCATTGGCCCATCAGATCTGGGGTCTCCCACCCTCAACTGGGTCAAGAGAGAGGGGAATGGACATTGCAATGTAGACGTGGAGTGGCTTCAGAGCATGTGCATTGCATCCTGGCCTCCAGCCCTCCTGATCCTCACTGACTTAACATCCTGAAGCATGAGAGTAGATCATTAATATTTTATGACATAAATGAAGCCGTTTGTTAAATCCACCCACAAAATGTGACTGACATAGGCAACTGTGGGCAGTTTGGCAGTGTCTCCATTAAAAGGCCGGGATGAACCTTAGGAGTGCTAGTACTTCAAGCTTCAGAGCTTGCCTGGAATGGGTCCTTCCAGAGTTTTCCTTCTGCAAACATCAGGCTCCTCATCACAGCGATGACTCCACTTGCAGAGGGAACGCTGCAGACATCTGCATGCTTGTTCTGCCTTTGTGAAATCAACTGACATAGGCAACTGTGGGCAGTTCAACAGTGCCTCCGTTAAGAGGCTGGGATGAACCTTAGGAGTGCTAGTACTTCATGCAGCTTCAGAGCTTGCCTGGAATGGGTCCTTCCAGAGTTTTCCTTCTGCAAACATCAGGCTCCTCATCACAGCGATGACTCCACTTGCAGAGGGAATGCTGCAGACATCTGCATGCTTGTTCTGCATTTGTGAAATCTGCAGAGTGGTGCCCAGATAGCTGTGATGGGTATCCTGCCAGTCCTGCTTGCAGTTTGGCTCAGCTCTCGCTGCAGAGGCTGGCACTTAATCTCCTTAGTCATGAGCCATAGGTCTGAGTATGGGTTATAACTGAAGAGAGCTGAGTTGAGATGCCCTGATTTTCCTTTCCTGAGGTGGGATAGCACTAGCAGTGAGGCTGGGAGGACCTGCTTTACCTCAGGTGCTACCTCTGCGCCCTGACTCCCCCCGGCTCCCTGCTGCCCCCAGCTCAGGACCAGGTGCTGCAGGAAGAGGCAGGGATGAGTGTGCGGATTGGGCCCCACTGCTCCCTGGGCTGCAGCGTGAGGCTGCCCAAGCCCTGCTGAGTCCTGCTGCAGTGAATTGCCCAGGCGCAGCCAGAGTCCTCAGGGGTGAATCATCATCAGCCCAGGGCAGCGTTAGGAGCAGAGCGGGTGAAATATCCCTGGTATCTGCTGCTTGCAGGAGCTTTGCTGTGCTATCTCTAGTAACGGAGGAAAGAAATAGGGAGTCACTGAAACAAGAGCATCCTAAATCCTAAATGCTGCAGGTGCAGAATTGTCATGTCCCCTGTCTGCACTGCAGTCATTTAAAATTCCCTAGCTTTTATAATCATTTTACTAGAGCTTTTTATTAGGGATTTCCCATCTCGTATCCCCCCTACCCCAACCCCGTATTGCAGTCCCGAAGGGAAGGAGTGTTACAGAAACGCTCTAACTGCATCTCCCGCAGGAGTTGCTCCAGGCCCTGCCTGGTGCCGGGGCTTCCCCTCTCCCCCTGTTTGCAGGACTTTCCCACCAGCTCCCGAAGGTGGAGGCCCCCGGCCGGTTTCCTTCCCCCCTCCCGTTCGTGGCACCCGCACGTTGCGGGGTCCCGTCCC